CCCCCACACTCTTATACATGTATGTAAACATATATTCCACCCACAAAGACCCGTATGCTTCTTCACTTACATGGACACACATGCCCACACAGAGACACAAGGTAAACAGCTCCGAACCTTATTGGAATCCTGATTCAATCTACCAAGCTGTATTTTTTTTTTTGCTTTTTTTTTTTTCACATTCATCATGTATGTGTAGTTGTTACCAGTATATCAGCTGACGAGTTGTCTCTCATGACCCAGAAATGAAGCCATAATAATTCATATGTGTCCAAGATGGGAGAAAGCCAGGCAAACATCTCACTGTTACTTCCTGGTTTCCACGTGATCCTGAGATGGCCAAGGTAGAGCCGCACCAGTCCCCTGTTCCCTTCGCTTGTACTCTGGGTGGTTCTGCAAACATGGAATCATATATGCAACTGGTCTGCCCTCAAAGCAGATCTGATACACGGCTGTGAACAGTGGGAAGCTGTCCAGCAGGCCCTTTGTGCTTGAGGATGTGGTACACCTGGGCAGAGGTATGTGGTCCCTGCAGCTTTTGTCCGTTCAGCATCTCCTTCTCCAATTCCTCAATAGTCTTTCCGGTCCTGGCAAAGGCTTCAGCTACCTTGCGGTTCCGTCCCCCTTAACGGGTACCGACAAGATCAGCCACCCCACAGCTCTCCAGAAAAGTGGCTGTAGACACCTGGCCCTTGCCAAACGTCCTGGCAAACTCGATCATTTCCATGAGGCCCAGGCGGATGACAGCGGCCTTGGTGCTGTTTCCAGAACTGTCGCAGAAGCCGACCCCCAGGGCGACAATGTTCTTTAGAGCCCCAGACAGCTCCACTGTGTCTGAGTCTTCCACCACAGTGATTTGGAATTTGGGGGTCTGCAGCAGCTCTTTGAAGAGAAGGCCATTCTTCAGCACCTTGCTGCCAATGGTGGTCTCACAGAAGTGCTCTTCGGCCACCTCTCTGGCTATGTTGGCCCCCATCAGCACGCTGACGTCTATGCCCACCTTCTCTCCGATGATGTCAGAGGCAAGCTTCAGGCCCTCGGGGCCCTGGTCTATGCCCTTGATCAAGCTGAGGCCCAGGGCCTTCGTGGGGACTATGTCGGCAATCTTATCACAGATGGTTCGAATGAACTAGTGTGGGGAAGCAAATACCAGCAGGTCTGCATCCTGCACAGCCTGGCCGAGACTCGAGGTGGCCACTACATTCTCTGGTAGCCTGTGTCCAGGCAGGTGCTTTACGTTTTTGTGGTCACTATTAATGATGTCTGTCAGCTTCCTCCCGTTGACCATTTCTTCGAATACCCACATCATGACCGTGGATGCAAACTTCTTCATGTTCTTCACATTGCTCCCGATGATTTTTGAAACAACTGATCCCCAGTTCCCTGAGCCCACGACGCACACTTTCAAGGGCTTTGCCCCTGCTTCCAGGCTGGTATCCTCCTGTGGGGACTGTGCCTTCCCAGGGGGCTGCTGGCCTCCATCTGCTTGGTCTCGCCTGCCGGTGCCCTGCCCTGTCTGCAGGCCCCCTGCCTGCCTGTCAGAGACCTGAGTGTGGTGGCTCATGCCTGTAATTTCAGCACATGGAGGCTTGGGTGGAGAACTGACTCAAGTTCAAGGACAGGTTGAGCTACAGAGTGAGACTCCCTGGAAACAAATAAGATAAAAAGCATTTTAAGAAGGCGGCTGCAGTTCAGTGGACAGAGCGCTTTGTGAGTGTGCGTGTGCTTGAGGCCCTGGGTTCCAGGGCTAGCACCGCCTCAGCCACTTGTGCCAGCAAATGCCTGAGATCCCGGCACTAGGGTAGTGGAGACGGGAGGATCAGAAGTTCAAGGTCAGCCTCAGCTCCAAATAGAGTTAGAAGCCAACCAGGGATGATGTGTGTCTCAAAATAAACGAATAACAAATAAAAACAGATCAAAAGACATGTATAAGGCGACTTGCTGTTTAAACATTGCATGCTTGATGAAATCAAGAAAATGGCATGGGGGTTGGAGAGATGGCTCAGTGGTTAGGAGCACTGACTGCTCTTCCAGAAGACCCAGGTTCAATGTCCAGCGCCCACATGGCAGCTCACAACTGTCTGTAATTCCAGTTCCAGGGGACCCGGACACCCATGGCAACACACCAAGGCATGTAAAAAATAATAAAAAATATTTTAAAAAAGAAAATGGCATGGTTTTTAAAAAGCCAGATTATGATGGCAACATAGATACATTTGTTTTGAGGCAGGGTCTCCTGTTTCCAGGCTGGCCTTAAACTTACCTGAATTTATAAAGTGGAGGATGACCTTGAACTTGTGGTGGTCCCACTTTCCCCTTTGGAGTGCTATATTTGTAAGCATACACCACCATGCCTGGTTTATGTGGTGCTGGGGGATCAAACCCAGAGCTTTGTGCATGCTGGGAAAACCCTCTATCAACTGAGCTACATCCCCAGCCATGACTATACATATATTATAAGAAGAAGGGCTGGTGTGGTGATGCAATTCTTTAATCCCAGCTCCCAGGAGGTAGAGGCAAGCGGATCTCTGAGAGTTCGGGGCCAGCCTGATTTACATAGCAAGTTCTAGGCCAACCAGAACTATATAGAGAGATCCCTGCCTCAATATATATATTTTTAAATATATATATATGTGGGCTAGAGAGATGGCTCAGTGGTTAAGAGCACCAACTGCTCTTCCAGAGGTCCTGAGTTCAATTCCCAGCAACCACATGGTGGCTCACAACCACTTGTAATAAGATCTGGTGTCCTCTTGTGG